TCCGCTGGTTCACTCCCCAAATGGCCGCAACGACTAGAGCTGAGCCTATCCAAAGCCAGGAGCCTGGAGATTCTTCTGAGCCTCCCACATGGGTACAGGGATCCAAGGAATTGGGCCATCTTCCACTGCTTTCCCAGGCACATTATCAGGAAGCTGGATCCAAAGTGGAGCAGCCAGGAAGCAAAGAGGCGCCATATTGGTTGCCAGTGTGGCAGGCCAGGGCTTTAACCCACTGCACCACGGCACCAGCCCTATGAAGTTTTCAAGTAGAAAAAAGGAGAGTCTTACTGTGTCTGCAACCGTTTCTTAAGGCAGGGTGCCCTTGAAGTTAAGTCTTTGGAAGATGAGGATGAGATGAAACAAGGGACGACTTTACAGGCAAAATAAGCAGCATTCTGGGAAAGCAGTAGAAGATGGCCCCTGCACCCACCTAGGAGAAGTTCCTGGCTCCTGGCTTTGGATTGGTTCAGCCCCAGCCGTTGCGGCCAACTGGGCAGTGAACCAGTGGATGGAAGACCTTTCTCTCTGTCTCTCTCTCTCTGTAACTTTACTTCTCAAATAAATAAAATAAAATGAAATAAAATAAATAAAAAGAAGAGGAAGAAGAAGGAGGAGGAAAAGGAAGTAGAAGAGGAGGAGGAGGAGGAGGAAGAAGAAGAAGAAAACTGCATTTGCAACAGTGGCTCGAACCAAGATTGTGAAGCAACTTGATCCATCTACTGACCTGCACACATTTTGTGTGGCTAGAAGAGTTTGGATGACAACCATGAAATAGCACATTCATTGTGGGAAATGTCTGTAGCCCCACCTTTGCCCTAAATGAGGGGATCTAGAGAAAAGGAAAAGATTCAGTAAAATAATAATTCTTGTTTAGTAAATGAAATATCCTATCTGAGAAGGTCCTGTTTTCACTTTTACAAATGTATCTTTGTTTTCTGATAGTCTTAGTTATTTCTTTTTTTTAAAAGATTTATATATTTATTTAGAAGTCAGAGTTATGCAGAGAGAGAGGAGAGGCAGAGAGAGAAAGAGAGGTCTTCCATTTGATGGTCCACTCCCCAATTGGCCGCAATGGCCAGCGCTTCACTGATCTGAAGCCAAGAGCCAGGAACTTTTTCTGGGTCTCCCACATGGGTGCAGGGGCCCAAGAACTTGGGCCATCTTCCACTGCTTTCCCAGGCCATAGGAGAGAGCTGAATCAGAAGTGAAGCAGCCAGGACTCAAACCAGCACCCTTATGGGATGCCAGGGCGTTAACCTGCTGCACCACAGCGCCAGCCCCAGTCTTACTTATTTCTTAACTGCCCTAAGACTTAGCCATAAGGAAAGAATAATGCCACATATCCAATTCTGTTGATGGGCTTTCCCCCACCATATAATCTAGTTGCCACAAATTTCTAAAATCCTTATTCGGGATAAGCATAAATTCATGTAATACCTCTACTTTTAGACAGATGTTATTCATTCAAAAACCAATCGTGTTCTGATACTCAGAATGTTTGCTGACATGGCCTATATTCTTATGCTTGAATAACAAATACACATTTGTCGATGTATCTGGGTACACATAAATGTTGTATTGTTCCTATTTTTGTGCTGTCTTCTTTTTAAAATTTTATTTTTATTTATTTGAAAGGCAGAGTTATAGAAAGAGGGGAGAGTCAGAGCAAAAAAGACTTTGCCAGGCTGAAGCCAGGAGCCAGGAACTCCATCAGGTCTCACACATGGGTGGCAGTGGCAGAACTACTTTGGCCATCTTCTGCTGCCTTCCCAAGTATATTAGCATGCAGCTGGATTGGAAGCACAGCAGCCAGCACTCTAACCAGCTCTCTGATATGGGATCCGGTATTGAAGGCGATAGATGAACCCAGTGTACCACAATGCTGGCCTTATAATGTCTTTTTGTGCCTAAACACGATATTCTATGCTCTCATTTGATGGCTTTCTAATTATTGTTATATAGCATTGTTGTTAGCAAATGCCATGCATGGAGTACTACACTAAGCCATCTGCACCACAATTCTATTCTCTTCCCAGTATTATTTTGGAGTAATATAAAAATACTGTTATGTAAATATATGTTAGTATAAATAAGCATACGGTTTTCACAACATAAGCAATGGCGAACTTAATGACAGAAACAGGAACAGATTGAGTCCTTGTTTTCTTTTGAGTGGGACACAGGGGACTTCAGGCTTAAAGGGTTAAGCGAATAGTCACCCTTCCTCATTTACAGCACTTTGCCACATTTGCTTTATGTTTTATATGAGAAGACTGTTTTACACGTGTCCTCCCAGTCCTTAAGGTTTAGATGGAAATTAAGTTCTAGAAATACTTTCAAATTGGAAAGACCAGGGTTGGGATCCTGGCTCTGTACCACCTGATAAATGTGTGATGTTGGGCAAATGATTTGATCTCTTTGAGAGCCCATTTTTCATCTGCAAAATGGAAATAATAATACTAACATCTAATAATAGAATTGCTGTTAGAATTGAATATGTACCTAGATGATTAGCACATGGTGCTCACTACACTTTAGCCTGTCAGTGGCATAAGAATTCTGAATTTGTAGTCACAGCAGTCTTGGCTAGGAATCCCTACAACTAGTATGCTGTGTAACTTTAATATATATTTGCTTATTGTATTTATTTGAGAGAGAGAGATAACATCAATCTTCTGTCTCTGGCTCACTCCCCAAATGTCCACAACATCTGCAATAAGGCTAGGATGAAGCCAGGAACTGGGAACCCAGTCTGATCTGCCATTGGGTAGTAGGGACCCAACTACTTGAGCTACCACCTGTTGCCCCCCAGGGTGCAAATTAGCAGGATGCTAACTTTGATATGGGCCATAGGTATTCCAAATGTGGTCTTTTTTTTTTTAAGGTTTATTTTTCTATTTGAAAGATAGAGTTACAGAGAGGCAGAGAGAGAGAGAGAGAGAGAGAGAGAGAGGTCTTCCATCCGCTGGTTCACTCCCCAGATGGCCACAATGGCTGGAGTGGCGCCGATTTGAAGCCAGGAGCCAGGAGTCTCCTTCAGGTCTCCCAGATGGATGCAGCCAGGGGCCCAAGCACTCGGGCCATCTTCCACTGCTTTCCCAGGCCACAGCAGAGAGCTGGATCAGAAGTAGAGCAACCGGGACTTGAACTGGTGCCCATATGTGATAATGGCATTGCAGGCGGTGGCCCTACCCACTATGCCACAGCACTGGCCCCCAAATATTGCCTTAATTGTTGTACCAACTGCTTGGTACTGCTATATAGCTTTATTTATTTTTACACATATACAGTAAATTTAATCACAGGTCACTAAATAAAACTCCAGTAATATTGCTTTGTAACTTTAAACAAGCCAGTTTGCCATTCTGCGACTGTGTTACTGTGATAGACAAAATGACATTGCAAATATTTGTAAATAAGATTGTGCAAATTTGAAGCATTGAATAAATGCTAGTTTGTCACCTTGTTTTAATATCTCTAATCATGTTTATAATTCTGCAGATAAGTGTAGTTAATATTTTCTGTTTACAGTGTTCCTTCCATTCAGGCATTAGTAAGACATTTCCAAGGTGAACAGGCATAGAGCTTGGAACCTGGCCAAGGTTATAGACTCAGTAAGACAGTGACAGGAGGAGGAGGTGCTCTCTGAGAGATGGACAACTACAGAAGAAGCTTCATTTTCTCTGCTTACTCCTAGACAGTAAGCAACAAGTCATCAGAGATCCTTATCAGCTGCCCTGTCAGGCAGGGATGGGCCCTCAGACCAGAGCTCAGCTGTGAGTGGATACGGCAGGTCTTCAGGCCACCTGGAGACCAAGGTCCTCCTGTCCCTTTTAATGCTGAATTTGGACAACATTGAATTGGGCTGGCCACGGGAACAGCTGAGGAGGGGAGGCTGTGCCGCAGGAGGGATGGATTCCTAGCTGCTCTGTGGCACTTTGCTGTGACTCACACTTCTCGTTGCCGTCTCCGTGGAACTGTTCAGATGAGTTTTAGAAAAGGTAATGCAGGTAAAGCTATTAGCTCAGTTTCTCACAAGCACTAAATACTTAGTGTTGTTCCTTCTAATAATTGTGTATAGTTACCATTGTTATTTTAAATTAAGAAACAAGGCCTCTAGGCCCTTCTGATTTCCCTAGTTTTACTGTCATCGTCATAATTGTAAATGTGATCAGAAGGGGGGGCCACCCATGATAGATTTGAACAGATAAAAACGACCCCACAACAGTCCTGCGTCTGGTCTCTAGTAGACCCTCACTAAGAACTGTCTGTGTGGGCACATGTTTCTCTGAAGTCACAGCTTAGTCTCTGAGGCTTCCTGCATTGCTTTCCCTTTCAGTGGACCGGAGAGAGACTGTTTATGCCCCCACAAGGTCCTGCTGTCTGTAAGCTGGTCTGGTTGTGGCTCTGTTAGAAGCAGATTCAGGAAACCGTAGCCAGTTGGCGCAAGGGTAGACAGTACGGAATCATGGAGGGTCTCAGGAAACATTTTTGAGGGTCGCAGGAAAAGGAAGGACACGTTTCCCAGATTTAAATGTCTTGCACTGAATGCTGGAATTGGGTTACCTCCTCTCTGGTCTTTCTCTGCCAGAATTTTAGTTGCCCAGTTTATCTTATTTGCTTCGCTGTATCCAGTTGATTTTGCTGAAAGCTTCTTATCTTAATAGATAAAAACTAATTTTAGTATTGGGTCAAGCAGAATGTAGTAAGGAGAGTAAACCTTTATTGCCACTCTTCCTTGGAGGCACTCCCAAACAAAAGTTTTATATTATGGCTGCTCTCAAATGTTCAAGGCATTGCCAGCTATCCCTTGAAGAGATAAATGCTTTTTAAAATCATCCTAACAAATTAACCAAAGATTTTAGCAGAGGAAAAATTGCCATTAATTCCCAAGGGGAAGCAGGGTTGTGGTTTTCCATCAATATACTTGCAATAGATTATTTATTAAATTTTCTTTCCCATACTACATCCCTTAATCCAAACTTTATGTTCATTTGCAGTGGGCCAAGGAATTTGCCATGGTGACACTGGAATTCGGAGTACCACAATGCAGCCAGGTCAGAATACAACCATCTACACCAGGATGTGTGTCCAACACTGTCCGTTTATGCCATTTATCATTTATTAGGTGCTATTTGTTTGGTTATTTGTGTACTTGTTCAGAAGCTAGTTCCCACTACCTGGGATAATGTCTTATTGAAAGGAAGACAGCAGCAAGGAGAGAGGGAGGGAAGGAAGCTGAGTGAGTGCAGTGCTAGAGGTAGGGTCAGAGAAGCAGGCCTGACAAGTCCCATTGTCGTGCTCTTCCACCTCTTATACTCACAGCCCCCTGCTGCCTGTAGCTTCGTGTCTGCACCAGACCTCTTGATGGTACTAGCTTTAAAGTGAAGTAATTCCACAGTACAAACAGTCCCTGACTTTTGATGCTTTGACTTAGATTTTTCAACTTGAAATGAAGTAGTATACATCCATAGAAACTGTGGTGCAGTGGGTCAAGCCACTACTTAGACACCAGCATCCCATATCAGAGAAACTGCACTTTGAGTTTTGAATCCTGATCTTTTCCTGGGCTAGTGGAGTGAGGTCTGAGCCTCTCACTGATGCTGGGAGCAACTGTGAACCACAGCTCCCAGTCAGCCATGCAATCAAGAGAACAAACAGCCTGAATGTACCCTTCTATGTACTGTGTTGCTAAGCTAGGATGTTCAGTAGGGTAGAGGCATTAATTGCGTCTTTGACTAAGCATATTTTCCACTTAGAGTGGGTTCAGCAGGGATATAACTCCATCATTAAGTCAAAGAGCATTTGTTTTCCTTTGCTATCAGAGTAGTCAGTCATTCAAATTCCCATCAGTAGTAGCAATACTTTCAGTTGAACATATTTTTAAATGTGGGTCTAAAATAGGTAGCACTGAATAATTCATGTGGCTATTGTATATAACCTTGTCCTGGAATCAGTGAAAGGCTCTGAGACCTAAAAAGAAAACAACAACCTAACATTAGTTCCCTCTGTCCTCTAATTAACCTTATAATCCACAGAGGCGGAAGTTTGAATTTTGGAATCACATTGATTTATTTATTTTTCCCTGAGGATTGTATTAAACAGTGTGTGATGACACACAATGAAATACAATAATTGATAAGGCTTTTTGCTGTACTGTTCTTTATCCGCAATAAGCACTTGATTGGATGAGTTCTTTTTGGTTGTACAGCTCACTAGCCCGAGGGATAGGATGCCATCTGCTGTGTATTTGTTTTTTATCAATAGATTATGTTGTTGCCTCTGTTTATAATGTTTCAAAAGAAAAATGTCAATTTGGTTTTTAAAAATGTCTATTTCCAGGGCAGGATTTCAGCCTAGTGAGTACCTAGATTCAACACCAGTCTCTGGCTCCTGGCTCCAGTTTCGGCTAATGCATACCCTGGGAGACAATGAGTGATAGGTAGCTGAAGTAATTGGGTTCCTGCTACACAACTGGGGGACATGGATTGAGTTCCAGGTTCTCAGGTTCAGCCTCAGTCCAAGCTCCAGCTGTTGACGGCATTTGGGGAGTGAACCGGTAGATGGGAGCATTCTCTCTCTCTCTCTCTGTCTCCTGGCATCTCAAAAATTTCCTATCACTTTCTTTGAATAGATAACACAATCATATGCTTTAAAATCCAAAAGATTCAAAGGGTGTATAGTAAGGTGAATTTTTCTTGCCCTTGTCTTGTCCAGTTCCTGGTGTAGATCTTCTCTGATGCATTCCCATACTGATTTATTTTTATTTTTATTTATTTATTTGACAGGTAGAGTTATAGACAGTGAGAGGGAGAGACAGAGAGAAAGGTCTTCCATTCACTGGTTCACTCCCTAAATGCCTGCAATGGCCAGAGCTGGGCTGTTATGAAGCCAGGAGCCAGGAGCTTCTTCTGGGTCTCCCACATGGGTGCAGGAGCCCCAGTGCTTGGGCCATCTTCCACTGCTTTCCCAGGCCACAGGTGAGACCTGGATTTGAAGAAGAGCACCTGGGACTGAACTCACACCCATATTTGTTGCCAGTGCTGCAGTCCCAGCCCCCCCCCATACTGATTTGTGATACATCTTATTTCCTCTAAGCAGCTTTGACTCAGCTCCTGAATGTCAGGGATTCGGTTGTTTCCTAGAAGAGTCATTTCTCCCCTCTGGTTATTTGCTATGAATTCATTTACAATAGGGGAAAATTTGGTATAATGAAACTTGCTTTCGAACAAACCTGATAGACTGATAGAATGTGGATAAACTGCTTGGCTTAATTGAATTAATGCTTAAAAGAAAACCATTTGCTTGACAGTCTCGATAGCAACTTTAAAAAGATACTAAAGCAAGTATCTTCCTGGTATGTTAGTCGGTGAGGAGGAGGATGCATCTGGGAATTCTTTTTTGTTTTTAACCTTGTCATGTGGGAGAATATCAAATTAGGCTGCAAGTGGAATCCCACAGTGTTCCTGTTTTTAATGTATATATTCCTGCACTTTTCCCCTCGGATAAGCTTTACTTTCACTTACCCCTCCTGTCCTGATACACTGGACTTGTACACCAGTTTAGAACTGCCGTGTGGGTCTATCCATGCCTGTTTCACTTATCTGTACTCCTCTATTCTTTGTCCCATCAAGCTCTCAGAATATAACAACAGTTACAGCACAAAAAATTAGTTCTCGAATAGTCTTGCTGGATAGAACGGTGTTTGGGGAACAAAACTTGTATATGGCAATTTAATTCAGCGAAATTTGTTGAAGCATATCAGCGGCCTTAAAATTACTGGAGTCATTTACTCGGTCATGGGAATCAATTCACTAAACAGAAACCTAAATAGGTATTTAGCAAACTGGCTTTCCTTGATAATGCAGGTCTGTCTCACGTACCACTACAGGAAAATATTTCTGAGGGATCATGGAGGAAAGTGCATGTCCCTACCAATAATGAGTTCTTTATTGGACCCTGTGAGGGGTGTGATCGTGAAGATGGAGGTAAGGAAGGCATTCTCAGGGTAGGTGTGGTGAGTGCACAATAAAATGCCTTTCTAAAAAAGCCTGTTTCTAAAGGGACTTCTGGGTGTTTCTCGGAGCTAATCCCCCTTCTCTGGATTCAACAAGATCTGGCCCTATACTAAACTAAAAACACTCTTAGAGCAATGTCCCAGGAATATGTTAGTTGTGTCACTATAAATTTATACAAATAGAACATGCAGTAACTAAAAGAAACAGTGTTTTTATTTCTCATTATCCAGTAACCAGGCAACCAGGAATTTGATGAGTATCTGCTATTTGCTTGACACACAATTCCCGTTGCCCAAGGCCTCCATCAAGAAGGTGAACGAGCATTGCCAAAGTTATCGGATCACCTGTGTTCATGTATTTTTCCCAGTATGCTTCACATAAAGCATTTTTCTGCTTAAGGCTTATTTTCAGTACCACACTTGGGGCAGGTGGTTAGCCTAAGTGGCTAAAACACCTGTTAAGATACTCACGTCCTACTTCAGAGTACATGGGTTCAATACTTGGCTCTGGCTCCTGACTCTAGCTTTCTGTTAATGTGTATCATGCGAAGCAGTGGAGCTGACTCAAATAAGTATGCTTCTGGATTGAGACCCAGATTGAGTTCTTGGTTTCTAGCTTTGTCTTGGCCCAGCCCCAGCCATTGCAGGCATTTGAGGAGCGAACCCTCAGATAAAAGCTCTGTTGATCTCTCTGTCATTCAAATAAATACTTCAAATAAATATTTTTAAAAAATCTAAAAATAAAACTGCTTTATTTATTTACATATTTGTATTTTTAAAATTAGCACATGGTGACTGTATACATTTATGGGATGCAGTGTAGCATTTCAAAAACATAAATGATATAATGATCAGATCAGAGTGACTGGACTATCCTTCAGTATACACTACTTTGAAGGAGATAACTTAGGGGAAAAAAAGAAAAAAGAAAAATGGAAAATGATAATAAAATAAATGGGTTACCTGAAATACAGTCTTTTACTAGCACAAACTTGTATTTCAGAGGTAAAAAACAACCTTATCCGGGCCCAAGCTATTTTGGGATATATCTAAGAATCAATTTTATAAAAACTTAGAATTGTATACACAATACTGATGCTCTGTTTCTGGCATGTGTTCTCATAACAAACTTCATCAATAAAGGAAGGGACAGAGAAAGCTCTGTGGTCAGATATTCTTGGTGTGTGGCATTTTCTAATTTTGTACTTCTGTTTATACCACAGCACTATTGGTTAGATTACTTACAAGGGGGTTTCTACCAAGATTGAAAACTGAGATAGTGCGGAATTAACAGCAAGCTTGTCTTATACATGTGCTACCTAGGCAGAGCATCACCAAGTCTTAGTGTGGGACTTCCAGTATTGATGGCTTAGGTGACTGTTATTTGTCTTTAAGGTGATCATAACAGCATTTTATTAAAGGAAAGAACTGTATCTTTGTATTGTATGTTTTAGGTATTTGAATGCCTCCAAATTTTATCTTAAAGAACCTACTGTCAGAAACTTGCAGGAAAGTGGCCTTCTAATTTCACTCCCTTACAATGATTTTGGAGCTTTATGTTTTTTTTGTGTGTGTTGTTTTGTTCTGAAGATTTATTTTCTTGTGTGTTTGAAAGGTAAAGTGATGGGGGGGGGGATAGAGAAAGAGAGAGAGAGAGAAAGAGAGAGAGAGAGAGATATTTCATTCACTGTTCACTCCCCAGATGGTTGCGACAGCCAGGGCTGGGCCAGGCCAGAGCCAGGAGCCAGGAATTCCATCTTGGTCTTCTTGGGTGCCAGGAGCTCACATACTTGAGCAATCATCTTCTGGTTCCCAGACTCATTAGCAGGGAGCAGGATTGGAATCAGAACAGCTGGGACTGCAGTTGGCCACTCTGATACGGGATTTGTGCATCCCAGATGGGATGCCCGCTGCACTGTAACACCTACCCCTGAAATTTATGTATTTTAAAAATATTTATTTATTTAAAAGACAGAGAGAGAGAGACAGCATGCAAGAGAATATGAACTGCTTCCTAGGTGCGCTAGCAGGGAGCTGGAT